AACTTCGGGAGAGGGCCCGAGACGGTTGAGGAATGCTCCGGAGTCTCACTTCTACCTCTATGAGACCGCGTCTGGTCGAGGAGAGATGAGGGAGGCTCTCGACTCCTCAGCCCAACCTGCCAACTCTGGACGATCCACCGCCATTCCCAACATCCCAGACTCCGACTGGGATATGGATGTTGACGATTCTGACGACGATGCCGACTACTCGCCGGAGGCAACGGAGAGCGACGCCGACTGGGAGGAGTTTGATTACGTGTCGTCGCATGACACGTCCATCGACTCCGACGAGCCGTTGTCAGCTGTTGCACGTCGGTTTGCTATGAGGAACGCTCCAGGGACTCCGGGTTTCGTCTGGAAGAAGAAGAGGCCTTTCGTGCGCCGTCACCCCTTCCAGGGCGTCCCAGGGGTCGAAGAAGCATGCCTCCTGCATGCCGACTCGACGGCAAGAGAGATCTTGGACTGCTTCCTGACACCGGAATTGTGGGACACTATGACGAGGGAGACCAACCGGTATGTGGAGCAGAGGCCGGTCACCCCATCTTCACACATGAAGACTTGGGAGAATACGACTGTGGAGGAGCTGCAGTCATTCATTGGCCTCCGCCTGCTCATGGGCCTGCAGCCGCGACCGCATTCGCGGTATTATTGGTCGAAGAACCGGTTGCTTTCCTCGTCTGTGTTCCCTGAAACGATGACCAGGGATAGATTTGATTTACTGCAAAGTCGGCTTCACTTCTCGGACAACGAGGACCCCCGTGCCGACACCGACCGTCTGTGGAAGCTGCGACCGGTGTTGGATATCCTCGATACGACGTTCAAGACGGTCTATATCCCTGACAGGAAAATCGTGAGTGGTTCAACGTGAGGAAGGAGACGCGCTACAGGTGTGGCAGGTGTGATGTCTCACTGTGCCCGGCAGATTGCTTCAATCTGTGGCACAGCCCCCTGTAGCGAGGATGCGGCATCACCCACCTCTCCGATAGCAGCAGGCTATCGTTTTCGAAACAGCGCAGGAAGATCCACGACGCCACATCCAGTGGCAAAAGGAAGATCCATGACGCTGCCTCCAGCAGCAGGAGGACCCCTCACGCCGCCTCCAGCAGCAGGAGGATCTCTCACGCCGCCACCAGCAGCAGAAGGCAAGCAGCAGAAGGACCTCTCACGCCGCCTCCAGCAGCAGGATGATCTCTCAACAGCAGCAGAAGGACCTCTCTCTCACGCCGCTCCAGCAGCTCTGCAGCAGAAGGACCTCTCACGCCGCCACAGCAGCAGAAGGACCTCTCGCCGCCACCAGCAGCCTCTCACGCCACCAGCAGTGGAAGGGCCTCTCACGCCGCCTCCAGCAGCAGGATGATCTCTCACGCCGCCACCAGCAGCAGAAGGACCTCTCATGCCGCACCAGCAGCAGAAGGACCTCTCACGCCGCCTCCAGCAGCAGGATGATCTCTCACGCCGCCACCAGCAGCAGAAGGCTCACGCCGCACCAGCAGCAGAAGGACCTCTCACGCCGCCACCTGCAGCAGAAGGACCTCTCACGCCGCCACCAGCAGTGGAAGGACCTCTCACGCCGCCTCCAGCAGCAGGATGATCTCTCACGCCGCCACCAGCAGCAGAAGGCACGCCGCCACCAGCAGCAGAAGGACCTCTCACGCCGCCACCAGCAGCAGAAGGACCTCTCACGCCGCCACCAGCAGTGGAAGGACCTCTCACGCTGCCTCCAGCAGCAGGATGATCTCTCACGCCGCCACCAGCAGCAGAAGGACCTCTCACGCCGCCACCAGCAGCAGAAGGACCTCTCACGCCGCCGCCAGCAGTGGAAGGACCTCTCACGCCGCCACCAGCAGCAGAAGGACCTCTCACGCCGCCACCAGCAGTAGAAGGACCCCTCACGCCGCCACAAGCAGCAGGTGTGATGTCTCATTGTGCCCGGCAGATTGCTTCAATCTATGGCACAGCCCCCTGTAGCGAGGATGCAGCATCACCCATCTCTCCGATAGCAGCAGGCTATCGTTTTCGAAACAGCGTAGGAAGATCCACGACGCCACATCCAGTGGCAAAAGGAAGATCCATGACGCTGCCTCCAGCAGCAGGAGGACCCCTCACGCCGCCTCCAGCAGCAGGAGGATCTCTCACGCCGCCACCAGCAGCAGAAGGACCTCTCACGCCGCCTCCAGCAGCAGAAGGACCTCTCACGCCGCCTCCAGCAGCAGGAGGATCTCTCACGTCGCCACCAGCAGCAGAAGGACCTCTCAGCCACCAGCAGCAGAAGGTCACGCCGCCACCAGCAGAAGGACCTCTCACGCCGCCACCAGCAGCAGAAGGACCTCTCACGCCGCCACCAGCAGCAGAAGGACCGGCCGCCACCAGCAGCAGAAGGACCTCTCACGCCGCCACCAGCAGCAGAAGGACCTCTCACGCCGCCACCAGCAGCAGAAGGACCTCTCACCAGCAGCAGAAGGACCTCTCACCACCAGCAGCAGAAGGACCTATCACGCCACCACCAGCAGCAGAAGGACCTCTCACGCCGCCACCAGCAGCAGAAGGCACGCCAGCAGCAGAAGGACCTCTCAGCAGCAGAAGGACCTCTCACGCCGCCTCCAGCAGCAGGATGATCTCTCACGCCGCCACCAGCAGCAGAAGGACCTCTCACCGCCACCAGCAGAAGGACCTCTCACGCCGCCACCAGCAGCAGAAGGACCTCTCACGCCGCCACCAGCAGCAGAAGGACCTCTCACGCCGCCACCAGCAGTGGAAGGACCTCTCACGCAACCTCCAGCAGCAGGAGGATCTCTCTCTCTTAGTAGCAACAGGCTACCTCTGCTCCTTCCAATAGTAGTTCAATAAAAACAAATAAACAAACAAACAAAAATCTATGGTTTCCATCTCCAAATTCCATAGTCTGAAACCATGAATTTTGACAAGCCATAAAGCAATAATTGATGTTCATATTTTTCAGAGAAACATTATTTTCAAGAGTATGAACTCTGAATTACAAGATGAACATATAAATTTACAAAAAAAAACAAAGCCAGTTTGCGTCCACACTTCTCCAAAGTTGTCCTTTTGAACAATAACAATAACAGAATTACAATAACAGAAAATAATTTCTGAAATTATTCTGAAATGCATGGACAAAATGACCTGAAAACAGCCGCTCTGCGTGAGCTAAAGGCGGAACCGCGGACGGCTCATTAAATCAGATATAACAAACACACACACACATACATACAAACACAAACACACACGCATACATACAAACACAAGCACACACATGCACAACACACACCACACACAATCACAAACACACACACGTACAATCACAACACACAACACACATGCAAACACAAACAAACAAACACACACACATACAAGAACAAACACACACAAACACATACACACACACAAACACACACATAAACTCACACACACATACACAAACACAAAGACACACACACACACACACAAAGACACACACATTTCGATTAACAATCCCTTGATTCTATGACAAAAATTAACTTGTTCTTTTTAATATTCATCTGTTCGGAAGTGATGCACCAAAGGATGACATATATTCCCGAGTATTTTTCCAAATCCTTTTGCTAGCTGTTGTCATCTTTGAGGAAAGTATGGCTAAAAATATAATCGTGAACGTTGAAAAAAATAGATATCATAAAAAAAAGAAAAAAAAAAAACTTGATGAAATAAAAAGGATATAAAAGCACCACTTTTGACGATTAACCTGTATTCAATTTCATTCTTATATATATATATATATATATATATATATATATATATATATATATATATATATATATATATATATAATAATATATGTATGTATGTATGTGTGTGTGTGTGTGTGTGTGTGTGTGTGTATACATAGATATACAGATATTCACATTCATATACATATATGTGTAAATATAAAACGCTGGCTGTAGATAGAATGAAGAAGAAAAAATACATATATTGAAAAGTTTGAACAGAATCAGAAACCAAGAAGAAATAAGTTCTCAATTAAGTAGATTAGAGAACGGACTCAAATTCCAGAACTATTTTTCCAGTTTAATAACCCGAATGTCTGATGAGCTAGGCCATCGACCTTTCAATATATTTTTTTTCCTTCTGCCGTAGACGTCAAAAAAGTGTGTGTGTGTACACGTGTGTGTACGGTTGTGTGTGTATGTGCGAGTGCGAGTGTGGGTGTGGGCGTTTGGCTTGGCTGGCGGTCCCCCAAGCGCCCGCCAGGCTCCGCTCCTGCCGGACGGGTGGAAGGCCCTGTCTCTGGTCGTGTTGCCTGCGGACCTGCGCCGCCAACTATAGGGAGAGGCGGTTGGGTGCGGGGTTCGCGGGTGGCGGAGCGGGGCTGGGAGCGCGGGCCGCCGGAGCCGAGCGCCGCCCTTGGCCTGCTGTGTGGCGGCGGCCGCGCGTCTCCCACTCGGTCCTTTCCCCCGTGCCGCCGCCTGGCCTGAGCGAGCGAGCGGGTTGGCGGGCGGGCGCGGTCCCCCCAAGCGCCCGCCAGGCTCCCGCTCCTGCCGGACGGATGGAAGGCCCTGTCTCTGGTCGTGTTGCCTGCGGGCCTGCGCCGCCAACTATAGGGAGAGGCGGTTGGGTGCGGGGTTCGCGGTTGCGGAGCGGGGCTGGGAGCGGGCCACCGGAGCCGAGCGCCGCCCTTGGCCTGCTGTGTGGCGGCGGCCGCGCGTCTCCCACTCGTCCTTTCCCCCGTGCCGCCGCCTGGCCTGAGCGGAGGCGAAGC